GGGCAGGCCATTCTAGAACTTTATCACCCTTTCTATAAAAACCTTTTTCCTAATATCCAACCCATATTTCCCCTGGCATAGCTTAAGACTGTGTCCTTTGTTCTGTCAGTTGCTGCCTGGAGAAAGAGACCAACCCCACCTGACTACACCCACCTTTCAGGTAGCTGTAGAGAGTGATTCCCCCCTGAGGCTCCTTCTCTCCAGGCTAAACACCCCCAGCTCCCTCAGTCGTTCCTCACAGGGCTTGTGTTCCAAGCCCCTCACCAGCCTCACTGCCTTCTCTGGGTGTGCTCAAGCCTCTCAACGTCCTCCCTAAACTGAGGGGCCAGAACTGGACACAGCACTCAAGGTGTGGCCTCATCAGTACAGGGGAAGAATGACCTCCCTGCTCCTGCTGGCCACACTATTCCTGATAAAGGCCAGGATGCCATTGGCCTTCTTGCCCAGAGCACACTGCTGGCTCATATTCAGCAGGCTGTCAACCAGTGCCCCCAAGTCCCTTTCTGCCTGGGCACTGTCCAGACACACTGTTCCCAGCCCATAGTGCTGCAGGGGGTTACTGTGGCCAAAATGCAGGACTTGGCACTTGGATTTATTAAACTTCATCTTATTCGACTCTGCCCATTCATCGAATCATTCCAGGTCTCTCTGCAGAGCCCTCCTACCCTCCAACAGATCAACACACATCCCCAGCTTAGGGTCATCTACGAATTTACTAATGAAAGACTGAATCCCCTCAGCCATGTCATCAATAAATATATTGAATAGAACTGGCCCCAGCACAAACCCCTGAGGGACACCCCTGGTGACAGGCCACCAGCTGGATGCAGCACCATTCACCACCTCTGTCTGGGCCCAGCCATCCAGCCAGTTCCTAACCCAGCAAAAAGTGCTCCTGTCCAAGCCGTGTACTGCCAGCTTTTCCAGAAGTGTGCTGTGGGAGACAGTGTCAAAGGCCATGCTGAAGTCCAGGTACACAACATCCACAGCCTTTCCTGCATCCACCAGGCGGGTCACCTGGTCATAAAAGGAGACCAGGTTGATCAAACACGACATATCCCTCCTAAAGCCATGCTGGCTGGTCTGATACCCTGGCCATCCTGCAAGCACTGTGTGGTGACACTCAGTATAAACTGTTCCAGAACCTTACTAGGTACTGAGGTCAGGTCCTCCTTCCCACCCTTTTCGTGAATGGGCATCACTTTGGTCAGCTTCCAGTCATCTGGAACTTCACCAGTGAGCCAGAACTGCCGGTAAATGATGGAGAGTGGCTTTGCAGGTTCATCTGCCAGCTCCCTCATCACCCTGGGGTGGATCCCATCTAGTCCCATGGATTTATAAACATTCAAGCAGCTCAGCAGTTCTCGGACTGCCTCTTCCTGTATAGCAGGGAGACCATTCTGCTTCCTGACACCATCTTCCAACCCAGGAGGACAGCTGTCCTGAGGACAAGCCATCTTCCCACTAAAGACTGAGGCACAGAAGGTATGAAACACCTCCACCTTCTCCTCATCTGTAGTTACTGAGTTCCCTCTCTCATCCAATAGAGAACAAAGGTTGGTCTTACCCTTCCTATTGCTGTTAAGATATTTGTAAAAACTTTTTTATTATCCTTTACAAAAGTTGCCAAATTAAGTTCTAAATGAGCTTTAGTCTCTCTAATTTTTTCTACATGCCCTAGCAACCCCCTTAAATACTTCCTAAGAGATCTGACCCTCCTTCCAAAGATAATACATCCTCTTTTTATTCCTAAGTTCCTTTGAAACCTTGCTTCCTATCCAGGCTGGACATTTACCTCGTTAATTCATCTTTTAGCACACAGGGATAGTCTGATGCTGTGCCCTCAAGATCTCTGTTTTGAAGCATGCCCACCTTTCCTGGGCTCCTTTGTTGTTAAGGCTGTTTCCCAAAGAGTTCTCTGAATATGTCTCCTAAATAGGCCAAAGTCTGCCCTCCAGAAATCAAATGAAAAAGTCTTACTGATGTTCCTCCTGATTTCACCAAATATCAAGAACTCTATAATTTCATGATCACTGTGCCCCAAACAGCCTCCAACCACCAATCTCCTACCACCCCATCTCTATTTGCAAACAACAGGTCTAACGTCTCCTGGTGGGCTCGTTCACCAGCTGTGACAAGAAAGTTGTCCTCCACACACTCTAGGAACTTCCTGGATTGCCTCTTTTCTGCTGTATTAAGCTCCCAGCAGATGTCTGGTAGGTTAAAGTCACCTTCAAGAACAAAAGTTGGTGATCCTGAAACATTCTCCAGCTGCTTAGAGAATAAGTTGTCTACTTCTTCGTTTTGGTTGAGTGGATGATAACAGACTCCCAGTAGGATGTCAGACTTGTTGGCTTTCCCCTTAATTCTTACCCATAGGCATTCAACTTCATTGTCATTATTTTCAATACTCATGGCACCAAGAGCCTCCCTAATATAAAGGGCCACCCCTCCACCTCTTCTCCCTTTCCTGTCTCTTCTGAAGAGCTTCTAGCCATCCAGTGCAGCACTCCAGCTATGAGAGTCATCCCACCATATTTCTGTGATGGCAATTACATCATAGCTCTGCTGCTTCACCATGGCCTCCAGCTCTTCTTGTTTGTTACCCATGGTGAATGCATTGGTATGCATGCACTTCAGCTGGGCTACAGATTTCACTCCTAAGTCAGGCTTACCACACTTGGCCTGCTTCCAGAGAGCCTAGCTGCATCCCTTTCCCCCTTCAAACTAGTTTAAAGCCCTCTCAGTGAGTTCTGCCAGTTCACAAGCCAAAATCCTACCTCTAACCAGAGAGATGAAGTTCATCTGGTTCCAGCAAGTCAGGTGCCTTAAAAGTTGCCCCATGATCAGAGAACCCAAATTCTGCTGATGACACAAACCCTTGAGCCACTTGTTGGTAATGTGGGCTCTCCTATTTCCTCTTGTAATTTGTCTCTGCTGCCGAAGGGACTGACCAGAACAGCTCCTGTGCTCCTTCCTTATCGGCCACTTGACCTAGTGCCCTAAAGTCCCTTTTAATTGTCCTGACACTCCTCTTTTTAATCTCATCATTGCCAGCCTGGACTATCAGCAGTGGGTAATAATCAGAGGGCCAAATCAGCTCAGGAAGTCTCTTGATAATATCCCATACCCAGGCCCCAGGGAGGCAGAAAATCTCTCTATGGGATGGGTCCAGTCAACATATGGGGCCCTCTGTTCCCCTCAGAAGGGAGTCACCCACTACAACTATACCTCTTTTCTTTATGATGTTACAGGTGGTGATCCTTCTGACAGATGAAGCGTAATTGGGCAGATAATTTTCTTCTACATCATCTGGCTGACCCTCCTCATTCAGAGCCTCATATCATTTCTGAAGTGACACCTGGGTAGGTGATGGGGGTCACAAGGAATTTTAATTACCTCCCCAATTAGGGACCCATTCCCACTCCCCTTCATCCAGCAGGTGTTCTCCTATTTTCTGATGGTGGAGGCCTTCAGAAAATCAGAAAAATATGGTGGTTCATCAAATATGCCACAGAGCCCGCCCAGAGTTTGCTCTCCAGCCTCTCAGTTTGCCCTGCAGTTGGTACAATCTCTGGCAGGGAGCAGTTTGACATCCCATGTGGTACAAGCTGTAATTTGTGATGTGCTAGTACACTGGGTTTGCCTGACAACTCACAGACTGGGAGTACTGGGTTGTACTGTGAGCATCATAACAAGGGAGACAGTCATGGAAAAGCTGAGAAACAGAGACAAAAGAGAGGAGGTTGTTGCCAAGTCAGCAGTGAAGGAATATTTCTGCATTACAGGATAGTGATGGAAGAAGAGGAATACTAGAGTGTGCTGTCTGTTCTCAGGGTCTTTTTTGGTTGTTTTTTTTTTCTAAATTTGTTTTTGTTTTGTTTTAGCCACATATTTTGATCTGGGAAATAGGAAATACAGGAATAACATCGCTACCATGCTATATCATGAAGTCCATCATGTCAGCTTGCTTTTCCCCCATGGTAGTTGCTCCTGCTATTTATCTCCTGTTTGAGCTGGGCTCACCTAGCAGGGCTGAAGACTTGTAGGTGGCTTGTTGCTTAAGGAACTTTTCTGGAACATGAAGAGAAAAAATGGATTCAAATCCTCCCCATAAACCAAGATGCTGGGAATATGACCCTATTCTAGAGACATCTCAGCATCTAAGGCCAGGGGAAAGTCCAAAGTCTGCCTGTTCTTAGTGATAATTAATGATAAATTATTTATGATAATTATTATGATTTATTATTATGATTATTATGATAATTATTATGATATTATTATTATTTATGATTTTAGTCAGTGCACTTTCTTTAGTCAGGGTTAGAAATGAATCCTTGGATGAGAGAGCATCATTAGAGCAAATCAAAGGATGAAACTATGAACAAAATCAGGGACATTTTAAATACCAATAAACAAGTACATCTCATTTTCAGTCAGTTCAGGTTATGTCTGGAGACCCCATGGCTCATTGGACAGCTCTTTCTGAATAAAGTCACACTATTTATTGTTTTGAAACAGCTCTGTTGGTGAGCACCTCGAGCTCGGGATGATGTACCTAAGGCATCATAGATGTCCGCCCAGACCTCGATGCAAAAATTGCTGATGGTACTGTGACCTGTGGCTGTCATCATCACAAAGAATTCATGTTACACATTATGAAGTGACATGACAAAGTATTTATTCAGTTGTCATTGTGTTATTGCACACTGTACAATGGAAGATGGGCATTCTCAGCAAAACATAATCTGTTCTTACCTTATAAGCCTTTTCAACATTCATTATTAACTTCAGAGTGCTGAACAATAAGGTATAGGTGAGGATTTGCTAAATAAACATTGATACTCAAAACTGTATCAGTTACAGTCCTTTATCTAAACATAGCCACAAATTGCATTGGGCTGGAGAACACTCATGAGAAATCTATACATCAATGCTTTTATAATATGCATCTACAGAATAATTAACACAGTAAATTAGCCCAGGGAGAGGAGATTTACCTCTTCTTCTTCCAGTCCAGTTAGATCCCAGAAGTAACTCAATCTCATCTGCAAACGCTTCCATTGTTCAAGGAACATGGTAGCTTTAAAAGAAATTAAACAATTTAAAAAATGATAAATCCAAAGCCTTGTGGTAAACATTTGTGTTACTTATAAGCTTCAACTGATATTTGAATCCCGTTATGCTAGACCCTTTAAAATTAAGAACTAAGAAATAGCCTCAGGCCCAATTTTAACAAAGAATTCAAGCAAAGCAGTGGGACAATAATTACTATCTTTTAAAAATAAAATACAGAAGGATGGAACATGGGTTGTCCAGAGCCACTGTTAAGGTCTTGTCAGGAAATGGAACTGAGCCCAAAACTCTGAGTATCCATGGACGACATCATCTCTCCTAATTCACCATGAAGCGTTCTGAGGTAGGTTTAGCCTGCTACTGAAATAACTAGGATCCCCAGCAAGATGTAGAAAGAGATAGTTTGAAATATATTACATGTAATATATTTCAATGTAAAAATGCTTTTTACTGTCAAAGATGTGGTGATTTTGCCCTAAAGGGCTGGCCTCTGGTTCAGCCTCCTGCCTCTCCTTTTTTTACTAATAAGAAGGAACAGATATTTTCCTCTTGTCCCATATTTACATATTTTTCTCCTGGCTGTCCTCTCATAATTGCTGTTAACTCAGTATAACCCTTTTCCTAGTTGCTCCTAATTTATGGACTTACAGATTTATTAGAAAAAACACTTCTATATCTTGGGTTGTGGACAGGTATTTTCAGATAACAGTATCAGTATCAATACTAAACTGGTACATGTCAACTAAAAACACCAAAACTCTACAAGTAAAGCTGTACCTATAAAACCTGGGGCACTGTTTTTCATTTTCTTATGCTTCACCTCACTTTTTCAGTGGGTGAAAAGTGTATTGTAAAAACACTGTTAGATCACAGCAGTGTTTATATCATTTTGGACATCTTGTAGATAACCCCACAAGACAGACAACAGTGGAGAATCCAATCAGCTTCTCTTGACTGCATCTACACTGTCAGATAACACTGAGAAAAGTGGGAAATCTGTGAAAATAACCTGGCTCTTACAAGTCATTATCTATCCCAACAGTTAGCTGCAAATATTTTCTTCACAGGTATTATCCCATTATATAAGAAATAAATATCATTTAAAGAGGGGACTGACAGCACACTGAAAGTAAATCCAGCCATTAAGCAATGAAGTTGCTGTTTGTGTTCCTCCCTTTTAGAAGAGAAAACATATAAAAGCTTTGTTTAGCATGGTTTGAAAACTCAAGGGTTTTTAGATATCCTAAATACAAAAACATTTGGTTATTTTCTAGGGTGCTATTACTCATTCCACTCTCTTCTGTTATACAAAAGCTCAGTTCAACATTTAGCTCTATAAAAATGTACTTGGCTCGATGCAGTGGCTGCTCTGAAATCAGCACGTCTGAGCTGATTTACACCAGGAGAAAAACTAAACTGAGAGAGAAGGTTTGGATTGGATATTGGAAAGAAATTCTTCTCTGTGAGGGTGGTGAGGCCCTGGCACAGGTTTCCCAGAGAAGCTGTGGCTGCCCCATCGCTGGAAGTGTCCAAGGCCAGGCTGGATGGGGCTCTGAGCAACCTGGGGTAGTGGAAGGTGTCCCTGTCTTTGGCAGGGCAGGTGGAACTGAATGAGGTTTAAGGTCCCTTCCAACCCATTTGGGTGATTTGTGATTCTAAACTACACACATTCACACTAGAAATGTGATAACATTTCTAGTTAAGGCATCTGACACTGAAATTTACACCAGAACCCAGTCAGCCAGGCATTACTGTGAATATGGACATTTGCAGCAGGACTGCTAGAATCACAAAGATACTTCATGAGGAATCAGGATCAGCTACTAGAAGCATGATTCCTTTGGAGATATTAACCATAGGAAGCCTTCTGCTTTCTAAAGAATGGGAGAAGACAAACAAGACAAATTAATTCCTGTGCCCAATACCCTCACGAAATTAAGCCGCCCCAGATCACCACAGTTTGCTCTTTTAACTATACAGCTGGAATAGGTGTGTGAGTGAGCTCTGCCATTAAACAGATTGATCTCTAGATATAACAAGCACAGCCTCTAATAGTAGGGCAGCAAAATTTGATGTAATACTTAATATGAAAGCTGGGCAGAGTTAGTAAAGACTCCATTATTTTGCTTTGCTGCTTTTTGTGTGTGCCAGCTGTATTTTCTTGAACTGACAAACTCAGTTATCATGGTCCCAAGAACAGACTTTTCTAATCTGTGGGAAACTTTTTGGAGGTCTGAAAGAATTGTGTTATTTTTATATGCCTTTTTTTAAAAGCAATGCATATGGAACTTTTCATCCTGTTCTGTTCCATAACAGGTTCTACTAATTTGTCTTAGTGCAAGGATATATCAACGTTTTCTTTTGCACCTTGCATTGCTGATACTAAAATACAATTTTTAGGGATGAGGTTCAGTGGCAATTGTCATTTGCATGGATGCCAGTTTACAGTAGAGTTTTTTGTCAAGAAAATTATATTTTATTTATCTTAAGCTTCACAGCAGCAGGTGACACTTAACCTGCCAGTCTACTCTGTAATCTGAAGTAATATAATGAATTCTTCTGAGAGTCTATTAATAATCCACTTTTTTCTATTTCTCAGTCATAATTCTCTCTAATGTTTGCTCTAGGGCTTCCAGGAACTAGTAAATAAATGATTCTTGCTTCCATGATCTGTTCTGTCTGCAAGTTCCTTAAAAAACTTCTGCTGTCCTCACCCAATGCCAAGCCACCAATCAGTCCTTTCTCAAACAAGCCGTAAAATCTTAATAGGCTTGCAAAGAATAACACGCTGGTTGCAGAGGGGTGGCTATAATAGAATAACATATTTTCTCAGTTTTATATTAAGAATGATAATCTCATTTTGGGAACAATGAATAGGGAAATAAAAAAATCATTTTACAGTAGCAATAACACATTTAACTTTACAATAAACAAGCTGTAAAGGAGAGCATAACACCAGCAAAAATTCATGCAAGCACAGTATACATGCTTGCCAGGGCAGAGGTGAGGTCAGAAAAACAGGAGTAATACTACAATGCATTCATTCATGTTTATCAAGTGTTTTGATACCCTCATGGAGACAGGGATATTTGCCATTAAAGAAAAGCAAGCTTGTTGAAATGGAATATTCTAAAATATATTATAATTTAAATGATAGTGGTCCCATTGCTCTTGGAATCCCATAAAATTTTGATAAAATTATGTGACTGAATTGTCCCACAAGAACGTGGGACCATGACTAAATTAGACCGTTTCAGCTGTTTGCACCGTACTAATCCTCAAATACATTCTGGTCCCAAATGCAGATGGTATTAAATTAGTGTGATATGTTGATGGAAAATGAAGAAAAATTAGCAAATACATGGCAAAGTTTAGAAGTGCCATTAACAGCACAATGTCCACTGTGGAGAAAATGGCCTCCGGATGTGCCAGGGGAGGTTCAGGTTGGACTTCAAGAAGAATTTCTTCCCATTGTCATTGGAAGGGGCTGCCCAAGGTGGTGATGGAGTCACCATCCCTGGAGATGTTTAATAAACAACTGAACATGGCACTCAGTGCTCTGGTTTAGTTGACAAGGTGAAGATCAGTCAAAGGCTGGACTTTACGATCTTTTATCTCCTTTCCAGACTTGGTAACTCTGTGATTCTAAACACAGCAGTAGAGGAAGAAAAAAAAATTTTTTTCTTTTCTGAACTACACAACTCTATTTGTTCCAGGGCTTGCTGTTGATGGTGATATTTCTATCCCCAGTCTCAATACAGACAGCTCTCCCTGGACTTCTGAGGATTGCCAGCTTCCAAAAGCCATAGGGATCCCATTCAATCAAACAGCACTTTGTCATGCCATGAAAAGTCCAAATAGCTTGCAAAGCACTACTTACCCCAGAGAGCCATAAAGATGGAGAAGAAAACTGTGGCAGGGTTGTCAAATAAGTGACTCGCTCGAGCAGTGGCACAGGCAGAGCTGAGGTTCCAGTAATCACAGAACTTGTCACAGAGGGGGCACATGGTGAAGGCATTGCGTTGGTCACACATCTCTTTGCTGTGACAGACAAGGGCACAGGTTCCTCTGAGTATCCCAGCTCAGAAACTGTGGATGTGCAGTACTGATATCAAGCAGCACATCACAGCTATTACAAGCTGTCTGCAATATCTGTGGCCTGCCCTTGCAGAGAGCAGGAGCTGTGTGTTTCTTCAAGGTTCATTGACATGGATAGTAATTTTTTTAACCCTTATAGGCACCTTGCCAACAGGCAAATGATACAACACTCAACCAGACTGATCACTGCACTGTATTAGTGAGTTAAGGAAGACAACATCACTGAAGACAAGGTTAACCACACTAAAAAACCAAAATTCAAACACAAAAGTGGAGTTTGCCTTGCTGCAGTCAAGTTATGTGATTTGATATAGATCAGATTTAAATCACTGAAAAGAAAGACTGAAGTGGTCTCAAAAGAAATTCAGTGCTGTTGTCAAAATATGCATTTTTTTATATGCTGGCACAAAAATATGAGAGAAAATATTTTTTACAGATTTTAAGATCTTTACTTTTAAGATCTTTACTATCATTTAAACTCCGTCTTGTTTGCTATGTATGTATTCAGTTTCTAAAACTCTTTGAAAAAAACATTATCAGTATCACTTTAACAGGACAAACACTTCAGGGCTGAGAATGCTTTCAGTATTTTCCATGAAGTTTGGATGTGAAAGCCTTTCACACCTGCTCAGTCTCACTTAGGTGAACTGAGTAGTGCAAAGTTCAAATGTCCTCGCCAGGATCATGAGCTGAGTTGGCACATTATTTCAATGATAGCTGGCATACTGTGATTATGATTGTTCCTATGTGGACCATCCCGAAATAGGTTTTTCCTTATGACTTCTAATGAAAAAAAAAGGACTATTCAAGTTCTATTATGAATATGTTTATATTATATAGTTTGAAAAGCATGCAGCTGTTTCCAGCTCTCATGTTGTTACAGTAATTCTCTATTTCAAAAGGCAGCAGAGGGTGCTGCAGATACATCTCAGCCATAAATCTCATTGCAGTTTAAATGTTAGTACAAGCTTTCACCCCGACAAGCACTAAGATTTGTTCAGATCAAGCTAAGAAAACAGACCCTGCTTCTGATGTGGTGCTGTTCATCATTTACCTATCAGTAACCTTGTCCTACTGCAGTTTTTTTAAAAGCTTACAGTTCAGGGACTGTCATGAGTGTGATTAGCATACAAGTAACTGCAGTATCTTGTCTCCAGCAGAAGTCAAACACAGATAAGACACTGAATTTTTTCTTCCACTGGGAAGCAGACATTAACATGACGGTATCACTTTGGCAGTCTTTGCGTAGTATATTCCCCTCAGGACACACAAAACTCAACATTATTTTGTGTCTAGAAGGGGAATACTGTGAAGACCAAATATAGAATCACACAATGGGTTGAGTTGGAAAGGACCTTAAAGATCGTCCAGTTCCAACTGCCCTGCCATGTGCAAGGGTACCTCCCACTATCCCAGGTTGCTCAGAGCCCCATCCAACCTGGCCTGGAACACTGCCACGGATGGGGCAGCCACAGCTTCTCTGGGCAATCTGTGCCAGGGCCTCACCACCCTCACAGGAGCAATTTCTTCCCAATATCCAATCTAAACCTGCTCTCTGTCAGTGTGAAGCCACTGCCCCTTGTACTGTCCCTCCAGGCAGGCACTACAAGGCCACAATGAGATCACCCCAAAGCCTTCTCTTCTCCAGGCTGCACAATCCCAATTCCCTCAGCCTTTCCTCCCAGCAGAGCTGCTCCATCCCTCTGATCCCCTTGGTGTCCCTGCTCTGGCCTGGCTCCAGCAGCTCCCTGTCCTTGCTGTGCTGGGCCCAGGGCTGGATGCGGCCCTGCAGGGGGGCTCAGCAGAGAGGGGCAGAGAGACAGAATCACATCCCTTGATCTGCTGGCATTTGCTAAGTCTTGTACTATTCTTCATCTTTCTTGTACAAATGGTCTGATTTTAATGGGAATCAAATGTTTCAAGAGTCATGGACACTGTTGGCATTAATTTCGGTGAGTTTCATATAACAACTTTCTGATTGAGCAGTGAACTATGTGCACTCACAAAAAGCAAATTAGTATCTTAGAAAACAAACTCAATACACTGGACTCACTACACATTTCTGTTTCAGGAAGTGAGACATTGACCAATCAAATAAATATACACCCTTCAAATAGCTTTTCAATGCCTCTGTGTTTGTAATGCTCCCAGGGTTGGTAATTATACATCACTGTTCTTCAGACAACTAAAACCAGTTATTCTCACTACAGATTAACAAGAAAAAGCACAGTCTTATAATTTTCAAATAGCAAACCATGGATCACAGATAAGCTTACCTAGGAATGTCACTTTCAATGGTTAGACATCCATATAGAAATACAATAATCCCAACTACTGAAGATGGAATGAGGAATTCTGTGTATAAACCCAGCCATGCAAAATAAAGTCCTATCTTTTCTCCAAAATACTTCCTGAAAAAGAGGGAAAAAAGAAGAAGAAAAAGCACATGCCAAGGATATAATTTTAAAATGTGTTTTACAGCTACTAAACAGACCCAGAAAGTTAAAATACGAATTGTGAAAGACATGAATGAAAACCCTGGGAATCTTGAAGACAATAGGACCAATGAAGGGGATGATTTAGTCATTTGGCAACTTGGGCTTCTCTGTTTTGAGAAGTTAAAGATGGTCCTGGTTCATTCTCCTGAGCTGAAATTAAGCAAGTATCACTGCAATACATAATATCTGTTCAGAGAAAACTGTGGTCTTTGCATCTCTTAAAAGAAGTCAGTGAAACAGCAGAAAACATTGGAAAATACTTGATGCCTCAGAGGAGCACAATAATTTTTGCCTCTCTAGTACTCCTGGATTCTGTTAGTGAGAGTCATAGAAATAACATCTATGGGACCATACTGACAACATCCTCTAGTATCTTAAAAGATGACTAATCTGGAACTGCTGCTAAAGGAGGAAAGTTTACTTGCACACTTAGCACTGGCTTTTCAGAAAGAATAATTTTGTCAGGTTAACAGCCCCTGGACAGGTGGTTAGAAAAAACAGTGTCAGTTCTGAGGAACAGCCCACTGCAGATGTTGATAAATAACTGGTAGAACTCAGCCCAGCATCTTCATGAATCACACTGCAAGAAGTAAACTAAGCATAGATGACCCTCACTGATCATTCTAATGTACAGTTAGGAGTGATTACAAATATTGTAAAACCCAAAGACCTTCATAGAACTCAAGAATTCCCCAAAATTTAGATAAAACCCAACAAGGTTAAAAACATTTCACAAGCCAGAGAAGAAGATGGACAGTGTTGTACAAAAAGCAGCTACAAAGAGAGCGCTCAGGGTATGGCATGGAGTGTGAGTCAGTGAGACATTTACACTTTGATAGAAGGAAAAAATTACAATAAAATCATGATATTGTGTCTAATAAAAGAAAGACAACCTCCTCATAAAGGCTGAGCACGATCCCAGTCTGAGATTTATTCTGATGCCATTTACCTTAGGAAAGTTTTATCCAAGTTCAGCACCCCAGGTTTGCATCATTCCTACTGAAAATGCTTAAATGAGATTTTTGGAGGCCCAAACTGAAATTTTCTACTCCAGAAGTTGGGTCTAAGGCCCAGACATGCCACAGGAGAGACAGAGCAGGAGTGCAACTATGGCAGAGAACCAAGGGACAGCAAGACAAGACTCCACAGTCACTTCCATCTCAGAAGAGGTGGATAAGGGAAGCAACAATGAGGGATTTTTATTGCTACTGATCCTGCTGTTGTTCTCACACCATCATAGCTGCAACTAACTCCACACTTCCAGGCTCTCCCACGGAAAACTGGCAGTGCAATCCTGCCTATTTGAGTTTTGCCTTCTTTGAGTGACTCTATTTCTCGTGTCTAACCAAACTTGCTTATGCTTTAGAAAGGATGCATGTAATCCTTAAGGAGAAAGCACAACAAAAGCATTTTGAGGAGATACACAGACAACATTATCTTTAGTATGAGGGGATGCCATCCAGAACCTGGGAAATTTTACCAATCTTCAAGGAAAAGAGTACAGCCCCTATACCTGATGCTGCAAGGTACCCTAAGCCACAAACCGTATGAATTATCAAACAGAACAAGTGAAATCATCACAGCATGGCTTGATTAGCACTAAGTTAAGATTTGAAGCACCTTGGGACAATGGATGAACAGAGAATACAAGGAAATATTATATGCTATAGCATATTTTATGAAGTGATGAATATTTGTGTTGCAAATACAAGCCATATACTGTGAGACTGTCCTCTAACCTGGCACATGTCAGGTAATTTTGGTGGTAATTGTAAGAAGCTTTCCTTTTTTTTCACATTTGAAAATAAATATTTATTTTTTATGTTATATTTTTATGTTAAAAACATAAAAACATGTTTTATGGTTTTATGTAAATATTTTATTTATGTTAGTATACTATGTTGTTATTATAGTTTGTTTAACACACACATTTTAATACACATTTTTTAATATGAAATGAGAGAAGGCATAATTGATTGAAATATGGAACTAACCAGAAGGCCTAAAGGTTTTCTTCAAGCCTCTTGTGTGTACAGCAGCAATGGTGTTGGAACAGCACAGGATAGAGGGAAAATCCATTTGCTCTCAAGTTTCCTCCTGACTGGGAAATGACAACCTCAAATTTGACACTAAAGCAGGAAAAGGAGGACCAGAGGGAGATTATCCTGATTATATCTTCTTACTGCTTCCTTGTTTGTTTGTAGAAATGGGCAATGGGCACAGCTAGTAAAGTGTTTCGAATAGGTCAGAGCAGGCACAAAAAAATTGTCCAAAGTTGTTCAAAACTCTCTGTTCTTCTGACAAAGGGCCATAGATTAGCACAGAAAGAGTTCAAATGCCAGCAGCACTAAAGAGTACCTGATCAGGGTCAGGAAAGTTGAAGTTTATGGCTCAAGAGGCTTCCCTTTAAATTTTTAAGCCTTCCAGTGAGAAATGTGACCTGTAACCTATGAAGCGAAGTGTTGCTATTTGTATCCACGCCAAAAGAAAGTGAGAAGAGCTCAACAATGTCCTGGCAGTATGGAAAAAATGCAGTTGCTAAAAAGAAAACTGCACTGTGTTTTGTGACTTAACTGTTTTGAAAAATGAAAATAATTAAGGTGTTGTGCCCAAGCTCAGCCCACCAATGTGCTAGAAAGTGAAATAATCTAAGGAGAAGTAATGACAGAGCTTGGAAACATAATGAACAACTTAGATGTGAGCTTATCATGTCAGAAGAACACAGGATATAGACATGTCTTTTCTGTGACACATTCCAAGAACTCAACTCTGGTTCCTCTGAATAGCAGTCATGGTGTGCAAACACCTGTGACTCCCTGTATCAACATCTACTGCAGCTGCTGCTGGATTCAGTAGTAAATGAACAGAGGGGGGAAAAAATGTGCTTCAAGGGTAGAGGATTATGTAAGGCAAGAAAAAGTATTTTTACAAGTTTTTACATGTTTACACCAAGAACTTGGCCTGTTCTCTCATTTACATTGGGATAAAACCAGTCTGATTTTATTATCCTACAGGAATTATCCACGATTGATGCTGGCATGGCAAAAGAGGAGAATTGAGACCAGAGTCTTGCCCTGCCTCAGTAGCTAATTCACACATGACTCACATATATCCAGGCAAAGCTAAGAACTAATCCTTTCCAAAGTGCGCTCATGGATACTACAGAATGTCACAAAAAAAGTGTGCGCTGGCACAAAGGGAAATGCCCCTTTATATACACATATTCCATGGAGGCGGGGGTTATTCCCAAACTAAAGGGCAAATGGCTTTGATAAAGAATATGTAGTTCTCCTATCAAGAGCAGCACCCAAGGCTTTTCTTATGTATGTTGATATATCATAAGATGAAATTTTGTGCTTCTCATTTTAGAAGACTTTATAAAGGCTGGTTAAATGACCACCTACCAAGTACTGAGTTCACATGAACAAGAATCATGTCTTTCAATAAAGATTTGGTCAAATTACCCATAACTCCTGAACAAACTGAACAAAAGCTGCTCTTCCAACAGATGATCAGAAACAGCACTAAAAAACTCCCAACAGCAACAGCAACAACAACCACCTGTAGAAAGTGTATTCCCTCCCAGAATTAGAAGTGCTGAAATAGTCACAGCAGAAACATTGGCTTGGTTCCCTCTGCTTTACCCATATAACACTTAAACCAGACATCTGCAATGCACTTTGGTCTGTCTGGTTGCAAAACCAACATCAAACAGAATAACTGATTATTAAACCCTCTGCTCGCATGTTGGTCATAGTGCTCCCATGCCAACTTGTGCAATTTATAAATAGACTAAGGTTTGGGGAAGGGGGGGAGAAAGAGAGAAGGAAAAAAACCCTTCCGTTTTGACTCTGTGAAAACAAGTGTGGGTACCTGGAATGTGAACAAAGCATGTGGTGCGTGACACACACTGGAAAGAACTCTGGAGATGTTCAGGAACAAAGCTAAAAAAGCAAGGAAAAGGCATTGTGGACACTGAGTCACCTAACCAGGAAATCGGTGCAGAACTCTTCAGTTTTTAAATTTCCACAGCCCACTCTAGGCCAACTGTTACTCCATGTCTCCATTTCATTCCATCAGCCTTTTGGTGGAGGAGCCATTTAGATGCAATAGTTTCTATGCAAAACAAAACTGATTTACAGCTGCCTCTTAGGTAGGTTTCCCCTGTGCAAATGGTCACACATACATCTAATGCCTTCAAAATAAACTTATTTGACAGTTTGGTGGTGAAATTCTGGTGTTTCTGCAGTAGGAGAGGAGGAAAAGCAGTTTAGTTTCATGTCAGAACATCTTTACTGCCAAGGCTATTTTAAAACTTTTTTTCCCTGTCCAGGTGCATGTTCCATCTCTGACCTGAAGCAACAGCCCCCAGGAACACAATTTATTCTTTCAGCAATTTTGCAACCAGAAGAAAATGAACCATTATGCTGCAGGTAGAACTATGACTACCCTTAGAAAGTGAGGAGCAATTTCTAACACATGGTAAGTTCAAAACAGAGGTGTTTCATTTGATTCTGAGATAATAGTTCCCACCATTCGAAGTTTCCATCTCAAAACTGCAGACTTCTTTCAGAAAGACTGCTGGAGTATATAGAAAGCCCCAGTCACTACAAGACAATCAGGAACATTGCTGAACACCCCAAGATTTCACTCCAGGTAGAGCTGCCTATGTCCAAACTTTTCTGGATTTGCCATTCTTTCTTCGCTTGAAAATTTTCTCAGGGCAAGATTCAAGCATTTATTACAACCATCTGGGACACCTGGGTGGAATCACTGCTCAGCAGCAGCACTGAGGCTGATGTGCATTCAGAGATCATGGAGATTTCCACCAGGGTTGTGCCTGACAGCACATATTCCATCCAAGGAATCTCAAGAAGGAACATATCAGTGCTAAATTCAGATACTCAGAGAGT